AGCGCATTATCGCATAGCAATAAGGTAGTGATTGCTAGCCACTTGCTTTATGTTATGCTAATAGACCGTTTGAGCAATGCGTATTCAGTGTGTCGATCATTATTCTCTGATTACCAAAATACATTATCCAAGTCTCTAGGCTCTGTAAAACAGCTAAACTGGGAGTTGTTTTGTACGCAGCCATTATCTTTGGCGACGCTTCTTTTCAGTTCGCTAATTCCCTTTGAAAAGTTGCCTTATTCAAATCTTATGGCTTGAGCACTGTAACGGGTTCCTTCCGTACTTACCGTGGAGTTCTGTTGCTCTGCATATGCAGCTATTTCAACACCATTGTTCTTTCCTTAAATCATGCATTTGTTACTGTTGATGATTTTGTAGACGTCAACGCTGGCGCGGTCTTGTGTTTCCAATCTCCCGTGAACAATTACATTCGCTACGCGGATCTTCCTGCCAACCCAGTGATCGATGGCATGGTTTTCAGTTTCAAAACCGATCAGGTAAATCCTTGCATAGCAGGCAACGTGGGGTTGATCGAAACCGAATAACCCATCGACTGTTTCTTAGGCTTCCGCTCTTCTACTCTACGCGCATGATCAGTTCTACAATTTCATTCAAGTTCATCTACTGAACGGCAACAAGCTCGTTCTGACGCTTAACAGCGGTACTGACATAAAACAGTGTACAATTGTCGGCCGAAGATCAGGTAATACGCTAACCGTATCGTTTTTCTCTAGCCACTGCGTAAACATGCGGATTTCAGGCCATTGCACTTTCGTTTTAGGTTAGCATACTTGAATTAGTTGTAATGATGCTATGATTTCTAGGAGGCTCTGTAACCTGCGCATTTTATCTAAGCTGCACAGTGACTTGGCGAAACATCTGCAGGTGACTTAGCTGACCACTAAGACCGCCTCTGGATTAGTTAACAGCGTTATCTTTATCAGTGGAGGATGAGACGTACCAAATGATCTACTAAATTTTATTCCGTACTTCTAAACTTATATATTCGCTTATTTACTTCCGCGCATATTTAGTGCCTGACATTTTTACTGAATGACTGCGGCGACTACTTGCATAGTGTGCTACTAAGCAGAACTTATATTGTATAAGCTCAGTCCTGAGTGTGTTAGCGTTCAGAAAGTTAGATGTAAAGTTAGTTTCGAGGTAAACGTTTATTTTCAGTATATGTATTTTAATTCTATGGACAGTAACCACAGAAATGTTAAGAAAGATTTTAGGAGTGCGGCATTATGGACAGCACTGAAATTGACAGTGTGTGGCATGTCCATCATTATTGTCGATATAGGCGGTAACAGGCAAACAGTGGTACGTACAGTGAAGCATCGATCCTTCTTTCTAAAGTACCCTTAAAACAATCGACAAAAATCGAAATGCTTAAATATTTTTGAAACAAAAATAACTATGCAACGATTAGGGCAACACAAGTGAGCGATGCAATATTGCTATGCTAAAAGAGTGGGTGTTTGTATTTAATAATTTATCACTGGTCATAAGCCTTATAGGCACTGTACCAAATGAATGATAAGGAAGTGAAAATGACATAACGATAAACCGATGTTTCACTGCCTGCATATCAAAAAGTTATTCGTTACCCAGTGAATTGGATGGAGTTGTTCTCTTTTGCACCATGATTTTGAATGATTCTGTTTCAAGCGCCTCTAGAAATTCTACGCACGTTTAACTAGGGAGAACTACTTAACATTTGCACTTTATTTATAACAATTCTTGAGGAAGAAGGGTAGAACTTTTCTACTAACTTAAATCCTTTCGATGATTTTTTTTTGTATTCTAGATGGCTTTAGTGCTCGTAAATTTTTTCCGATTCCGGTTTACAGGAATGTATGTATAAGTAATGCGGTAATCCAAACACATGCGAATTTTATTTTATCAATTGGGCGAATGATAGTCGTTGGTGACTATAGCGACTTTAAGGCAATTACTTTTACAGGTTTCAACAACATGCACTGGGTACAGGTACTGATTGAACAGAACAGTGACAGTACGGTATTGAAAGCTGAAGACTTGTTGTGTTACATTGTTGGCGCTCGCACATTGGTTGCGGACTACGTGAACATTTTTAACGATCCAGACAACTTACGTAAGTTAGTTCAACAGCTTTGCTATAAGTTTCCAGCATCTCTACTTGATCACATAAATTGACCTGATCATTTTAGAATCCGTCTTTCCACCGCGTCTTCCAGTCAAACCAACTGATATTAAAAGCTATCGAATACTGTACGTTGGTGGACTTCCCACTGCGAAGACGTCGTCGCAGAATGTCCGCAAAAAGCGACAGTCGCTGTACAACACGGTTTTACCTGACTTTGCTGGCTGTTTGCGCGGCTTGGCCATCAATCATCGCCGAATACTTTTAGAAGCAAACGGAGAGCAAAACGGCTGTATGGAAGGGGTTGATTCTCAGAAAGCGACTTGCTTACGTGTTTTTCTTTGTCTACAGACGTCAGTGAAGGATGCGATTTTGGCGGTGAAGAACTGAGCTGCCTTAACGGTGGATACCAGACGGTGAACTGGCAGAGAAAGATGTTGTTGCAGTGCGAATGCAAACACACCTCTTTCACGGGTGTAAACTGTTCAGACGGTAAGATTCCATCTCATGGCGATGAAGTGATGTACTGTGATCTGCGTTGTGTATGTAAGGTTAGTTCTTGAAAAATAATTTGTGAAATATCTGTGATCGTCTTTAAAACAGTCGATGACGATTCGACGCTACCGTTTCGGCGCCGATCGATAGTCGTTATCAACGTACAAAGCGTTTGATTCTGTTTGATCAGAACGTGGCTATCTCGACCAAGTGTAACATCCAGCCCAGCAAGTTATATATCTGTGAGAAGCTCTCCATAAGCACAGTGTGAAACTCCTGTTAAACTAATGAATTTCTGATTCTAAGATTTCGTCCACTAACTGAATTTCATTATTTATGTATTAATTCAAATTGTCAAATGCCAAATTTGTTGTCAAATTGCCTAAATATTTTACAATATTTAAGTTAGTGAATATAAT